TCGTCAAAGAGCACTGCCTTAGAGGGCAGGCGTAAAAAGAGAGCGCGATGCGTTTCCCCTACAGGATCTCATCAGCTGCAAGCACACTGCTCTCTCCCTGCGCTTTGGCACACGGATCTGTGAGTCACTCTCTACACTCACCCCGGGCTAGGATCTGCTCCCGAAACGAGGGGTGACTTCATTTCCCCCGAGAGAAGAGGGCTGGCTTACCAGTTACTTCTCTGAAGGTTAGAAAATGTCTTGCTCTGGTTTTTTTCTAGGCTGATCTGAGATGTCCAATTAGACATCAACAGTCCACTTCCGATCACGTGGCTCTCCCTGCTGCCTTCCTCCCGGCTCCCACTCTCTCAGAGGCCACTCTGACGCCACTAAATCCCACGGGAGAGGTGACAACCCCAAAGAGGAAGCTCTTGAAAGAGGACATTTGGAGAGGTTCACACCAGTGCCTGCCAGCTCCTCTGAGCCACTTTCACCCCTCGGCTGAGATGAAAGGCCTAAGTCACCACAGAGGGACGGACTGGCATTGCAGAGCACTTAGCAACTAAAACTCGTCCCAGGCCAAGCCTCTTCCCTGTGCAGTGGGGGCAAGGCTGGGGACGGCAGGTAACTGATGTCGAAACAGCACAGCTAACGAAGGAGAGCCGCGATGAGATTCCAGTGGCTGGTCTGCCAGCATGCTTGTCCGGTGACACAAACGCCTGAGGTCTCAGCACGGCCCAGAGAAGCGCTGACACTGGACACTGAGCCCTCTCACAGCCTCCTGCTCCTGGGCCCAGCTCATCGTCCAGATTGTGCCCGCCGCCAGTCCACTCTAAGGAGCAGCACAGCAGTGCCGCCGGCAGTGGCAGGCTGGGAGCGTTCCGAAAGAGCACTTGCCGGACGCGGAGAGGCAGCCACAGCTCTCCTGGCTGCCAGGCCCGTTCCGAGCTCGCTCCTGGGAGCTGCTTTTCACTTTCCACGATGCAGTACACACATCATTTTTCCCTTCTGGAATCTGCCAACTGGAACAAACCCACCAGCCTGGGCGCATCCCCTCAGGGCACTCCCCAAGCCCTTTCCTACTTAGCCTGACACTGCTCTTGAGGGAAATGTCCCACAGGCTCATCTTCCCAGCCTGCTCCAACAGATGACTGACAGAAGTGTGGGCGCTCCTCCCCGGGTCTCCTAGAGAGCACGGCCTGCCAAACCCTGCCCCGCTGGTCACCCAGGCAGCGCGCCCCTAGAGACAGGCTTTCAACTACACTTCAGAAATACAAAGAGCACGTGCTGGCTCTACGGAGGAAGAAATAAAGGGAGCTTTTCTCCTTCCGACAACAGGTCTAGAAGTCACACACACCCAAAACGAAAGCAAACACCAGCCCATGCATTCCATAAAGACGTGCACTTCCAAGCCCAGGACAGACTGGTTTGGTCCAGCCCACAAAGTATTCCTGGTTTACACCAGACTGGGAATAAATCCATAAATCCCATCCAAAAGGGCACTGCAGCTCGACCACCCAATACACTCCTAAGAAAGTATGTGGGGCCAGGATGAGACCACGCAATCCTACAAAGTCAGAGGAGTTTGCACCACACACCCCTACACTTTCTAATGTGCGACACACTCTTGAAAGCAATGTTTCTCTGTTTCTCAATCTGTGGCCACTGCCCATCTCATTCAAAAGTCATTCCTAAATTTCTCAGTGTTTGGAAGCAAGGCTTCCAACGTGCATGTACACAGAGAACAGAGGGGATAAACCAAAGTTTTAGAACAAGAACCTGCTGGGACCAGCACTGAGGCACAGTGGCTGAGGCTGCCGCTTGCACAACCAGCACCCCTCTGAACACTGGTTCGAGTCCCAGTTGCTCCACTTCCAATCCAGTTCCCTGCTAATGCACCTGGGAAAACAATAGAATATGGCCCAAGCCACCCATCCAGGGAGACCTGCATGGAGTTCCAGGTTCCTGGCTTCAGTCTGGCCATTGCAGCCACGTGGGAAATGAACCAGCAGATGGAAGATCTCTGTCTCGGTCTCTTTCTGTAACTCTACCTTTCAAATATAAATAAATAAATCTTTTTTTTTTTTTTTAATTTGACTGGTAGAGTTAGTGAGAGAGAGAGAGAGACAGAGAGAAAGGTCTTCCTTCCATTGGTTCACCCCCCCAAATGGCCGCTACTGCCGGAGCTAAGCCGATCTGAAGCCAGGAGCCAGGTGCTTCCTCCTGGTCTCCCATGGGGTGCAGTGGTCCAAGCACTTGGGCCATCCTCCATTGCCTTCCCGGGCCACAGCAGAGAGCTGGCCTGGAAGAGGAGCAAACGGGACAGACTCCGGCACCCCGACCGGGTCTAGAACCCGGGGTGCCGGCACCGCAGGTGGAGGATTAGCCAAGTGAGCTGTGGCACCGGCCCAAAGGGCTGTTATTAAACCACCAGAAGAATTCAAGGCCAACAGGAACTATCCCACCTGCTGGACTGCCATAAAGTGCTTTTACCAACATATTTGCCAAAATCCTGTGAAAGCTTCTCTCTGTTTCCACAGGCCACCACGGCCCAAACACTAAGTCTGAGAGAAAGTGGCCAGTCCACGTGCTGTCCACAGCAATGCCCTCCTGCAGCCAGCTGTCCCTGCTAGGCAGTCAGGTGACAACTGGATTATGAACAAACTCTCCCTGGGTCTCTTTGGCAGAGTCTGTGCCTTTAGCACCCTAGCTTAGGGGGTTCATAACTATGTCAGAACCACTTCTCTATCCCATTGTTGCTTTTAACCGGAAAAGGTTAATAAGCCAGTTACCCAAGTGGCAGAACTAGAATGAGAAAACTCGCCAATTGCCCTAGCCAGTGAGAATCCATTTCCAATAGGTATTAACACCTGTTAGAAGCAATGGGGGGAGGGGGGAGTAGCAGCAGGAATGGGGGGCCGGCACTGTGGCGCAGTGGGTTAAAGCCCTGGCCTAAAGCACCGGCATCCCATATGGGCGCCGGTTCTACTCCCGGCTGCTCCACTTCCGATCCGGCTCTCTGCTATGGCCTAGGAAAGCAGTAGGAGATGACCCAAGTGCTTGGGCCCCTGCATCCACGTGGGAGACCTGGATGAAGCTCCTGGCTTCGGATCCATGTAGCTCCGGCAATGGCCATCTGGGGAGTGAACCAGTGGATGAAGACCTCTCTCTGTGTCTCTATGTCTCTCTGTAACTCTTTCAAATAAAATAATTCTTTAAAAAAAAAAAAAAAAACACATCAGCAATGAGAACGCTGATATCACCAGCCCGATTGATAGATTGCCTAACAAATTCATCCACTTTATCACACACAGAATTTAAAACAAAAGACACTGCAGTTACATTCATGATTGCAGACAACGGGCTTCTTTGTTAGTCATCAAAGGACACTGTGCTGTGGACTCTACCATCACCATCTCCTCGGCCTCTGTGTGAGCTGGCCAACATGTCAATTTTCTAACCCTAAAAATCTCATCATCCAAAATAACCAACCCAGGGGCTGGTGTTGTGGCACCGCCGGTTAAGCTGCCACCTGCAAAGCTGGCACCCCTTATGGGTCCTGGTTCAAATCCTGGCTGGTCCAGCTCCGTTAATGTGCCTGGGAAAGCAGCAGAAGATGGCATAAGTGCTTGGGCCCCTGCCACCCACACAGGAGACATGGAGGAAGCTCCTGGCTGCAGCCCGGCTCTGTGCTGCTGCACCCATTTGGGGAGTGAACCAGTTGATGGAAGATCTCCCTCTTGAGTTTCAAATAAACAGATCTTTAAAAAAAAAAAAAAGTTAACCAACCCAACCACATAGCCACTTCCTGCAATCTGTAATGATCTGTGACAGGTGCCCTTGGGCCAATTCCTCGTCTAAAGTACACCGCAGGAAGTACCCTCCGGGGAGAGAGCTGCTGGACACCCAGCCCAGACCCTGGACTCCAAAGCCAAGGAAGGCGCCAAGGGCAGGCTTCTCCTTTGCCCCGCGAGGACCACAGTCTCTTGAGCTCACAAAGCCCGCGGGGACGGGGCTGAGAGCGATCAGGGGATGAAGGTGGGGTGCAGGAAGACTCCAAGTCTCTCTTCAGCCATTCCCTGGGACTGTCTGCCCCCCTCGCCCCACCCCGCCCCGGGGAGTCAGGAAACGGGGGCACGGGGGCCCTGTCAGCAAGTTCTCAAACTGCTCGCAATTCTGCCAAAGAGCTGGCAGGTCCCGAGCGCTCGGCGCGGGCGTGCACTCAAAGGTCGGTGCCCACTCCGCGGGCTGAGGCGGGAGCGTCCCGAGACCACTCCCTACTGGGGTACATCGGTCACCAGGGCTGGCGTCCGCGCCCAGCAGCGCCCATGTGGGGGGGGGGGACACCGTCTGAAAGAAAAATTCTCTCGCCCCCCTCTGCCCTCCAGAGGGTCCCGCGTCGCCGGTGGGCACCTAGAGTTCGAGGCCGGGGGCGTCCCCCAGACCCACGGCGAGCACGAGGGTTGCGCGCCGTCTCCTCAGGACAGGCCCAGGCACTGCCCACCGGGCGGGCAGCTCTGAGGAGAGCCGGCGACCCGGCTGAGGGGGTGCCACGCACGCCCCAGGTGCCCGCTTCTCTCGCCAGCCCCCGGAAGCGGCCGCCCTCCCGCCCAGCGGGCTCCGAGGGGGCGGGGAGTCGAACGCCCCCTTCCGGGTGCCTCCGCCCGGCTGGCCAGCCCCGCTCCTCCTCCGGGCGGGAATCCTCCCTCCCCCGCCCCTCCCGAAGCCGGGCCCCGACGCCAGGCCTGGCCCCAGGGGGGATCCCCCGGCGCCGGCTCCCCCTCCCCGCGGCCTCTGCCCATCTTCCCGACCCTTGAGGGCCGGAAAGACCCCGCCGGCAGCGGCCAGGACCCACCGCTCATTACGACATCTTCCTCCCTGGCCTCCGCCGCCTCCGCCGCCACCGAGAGCCTGACACCGCCCGCCTAGAGCCCGCCAATCCCGGAGCCCGCCACCGCCCGAGCGACGGCAGCGCCCACCAGTAAGCGGTCGGGACATTGGGGACCGACAGCACTACTAACCAATCACCGAGAGTCATCTAGAGCGACGTTGGTTTGGCCAATAGGTCTGTGCAGGGTCACTGACGGACGGTAGAGGGCACCAACCGGAAACCTACGGAAGAATGAACGACGTGTTCCTCGGCCAACTGGCGGGAGGCAAAGTCCCGCCCACTGTGTCGTTGATGGACAGCGACAGGAAGCTGCGTGGGGCGGGGCTTAGCTGAGGACTGTTCCTGTATTGGTCGTGGTTGACCTTCCACCCACCTCTAACCCAGAAGATGAGTGATAGATCTGCCCTAAAGCCAATCAGAAGTCCTTAGGGTGAGGCCCTATAAATAGCATATACATTTCGCCTCCAGTCCAGTCTCGCCCAGGTGTGGCAGGGCCGCGTCTCGCTCGTCGGCGGCCGTCGGTTCCCACTCAGCCTCTCGCCTGGTGAGTGGAAAGCCGCCAGCCACTCGTTCAGCCCCTCGCCCGTCTTCGCCTTGGGAGAGGCCACTTGAACAGCGAGGCACTTTGGCGCCCGCCACCGTGGCGGGAGTTGGAGCTACGTGACATTCCTGAGAGGATTTTCACTGTCACAGCCCCAGCCCCTGTTAATCCCCACCTGGCTGTCGCGGCGCCCCGGCCCCCACCCCGCGACCCCCACACGCGTGCGTCGGGACCGAAGGGAGCTCAGCGCAGACCCCCGGCACCGCCGGCCCTAATCCGACTCGGGGCTGGGGGCGTGCCGAGGACCTTTTAACCGGCGCCCCGGGCGGGCGGGCGGGCGGCGGAGCGCGCTCGAGGCGGGGAAGCCGACCTGGGCCCCGCCCCGCTTCCCCCTGGCGTGGCCGGCGCTGCCCCGGTGGGCTGCTCGCTCTCTCCAGACTTGTCTGTGGCCGTGCGCCTCGGGAAGCCCCCCTGGCTTTCGAGAGCGGGAATGCGCTCTGGCTTGAGACCTGCTCGCCCCGCTCGCTCTCGGCGAGACCTCCTGGGCCCCCAGGGCACCTGCAGCCCGGGGCCGGCTCCCCTCTCCCCTGCGTGTTCATCCCACGGGGGAAACACACGGTCGTGCTCAGACCCGGTGCCCTCGAACAAGTGCCTAGAACGAGCGCCCGGCCAGCAGCCCCTACACTCAACACTGCGACTCTGCGGCTGCGCACGTGCCCATTCCCCTCTCCTCGATTCTTCTCTCTGTCGAAGTCAGCAGCCTGAACAGCACGTCAGAAAGGGCTGTTGTGGTAACACAGAGCGAAAGGCAATGTTAAAAGTCTCTTCCAGGCCACCCCTCTCCGTGTCAGCCCTAGAAAGACATCAGGCAACATCTCTAGAACCTTCCATGGAAGGTTCTCTGCCTTCCGGGTAAAGCCAGGCTGCTTTCTAGCCCTGTACACGCCTGTGGGTTTTTCTCCTCCACCCACAAATCCTGTCCTTTTCCCTCATTCCTAAACACCTACCAGTTCTTACCCTGCCCTGCCTCCCGGTCAACTCCTACACATCCTCCAAGACCCTGCCCGAGTCTGCACGCCTCATCCCCACCCAGCTGAAGCGTTTTGCTCCCGTGTTCTGCCCTGTTCTTGGCACGCGTGAAAGGCGTCCGTCACACTATTTACACACGTTTATTTTCACTTCTGACTCTCCTGCATTAGTGGCCGGCGCTGTGGCATAGCAGGTAAAGCTGCTGCCCTCCACGCCAGCATCCCATAGTTTGTGTCCTGGCTGCTCCATTTCCGATCCAGCTCCCTGCTGCTGGCCTGGGAAAGCAGCAGAAGTTGGCCCAAGTGCTTGGGCCCCCACACCCGCGTTGCAAGACCCCAGTGAAGCCCCTGGCTCCTGGCTTTGGCCTGGGCCAACGCTCGCCATTGCAGCCATGTGGGGAGTGAACCAGGGGATGGAAGATCTCTCTCTCCTTCTGTCTCTCTCTGTATAGAACTCTTTCAAAATAAAGTATATCTTTTTTAAAAAGAGGAAGGGGACGGGCGCTGTGGCGTAGTGGGTAAAGCCACCGCCTGCAACGCCAGCAGCCCACACAGACACCAGTTCGAGACCCAGCTGCTCCACTTCCCATCCCGCTCCCTGCTAGTGGCCTGGGACAGCAGTGGAGGATGGCCCAGGTGTTTGGGCCCCTTTCCCCATGGGAGACCTGGAAGAAGCTCTTGGCTGTGGCCTGGCTCAACCCCTGCCCATTGTAGCCATCTGGGGAATGAACCAGCAGATGAAGGATCTTTCTCCTTCTCTCCCTAACTTTAATAAATAAATACGCCTTTAAAAAAAAAAAAAAAAAAAGGAGGAGGCTTGAGGCCAGTGCGGGAGGACGTCAGGTATGCTGAGTTAATGAACATTTGCATACAGTCACCTCTCCTGGGCCTTGTTTAGAGCCCATACATTCTGTTCCAGGCCAGCTTTCCAGTTCCAGTTGCTTCACTGTCAAGCCCGGGACTCCACCCGGGCTCGGTGACTCAGCTCTGTCAGGGTGCAGGGGTTCGGGGGTGGTGGGGTGGGACACCCCGCTGGGCCCCCGCCAACCTCGCCTGGCACAGGAGCTTCCCCAGGGCCCCAGCTCGAAGGCGGCACAAGTGGCCCAGGAGAGCGCGTGGAGGGGTTTTGAGCTGTGTGGCTGGGTTTGCCCTTTGGAACGCTCTCTTTTCTTACTCTTAGTAGAGGTACAGCCAGGAAGGGGGCTTGCTGAGGAGATGACCCCTTGTCCTCATGTCGGGACCATCGGGGGCCTTGAGCCTCCTTTACAAACCCTCCCCCAGCCGAGAGCTCTCCCCTTCCAAGATGGCCCCTAAGCGTCCACTGTGTCCCTGGCCACGCTTTAGACTCACGACCACTTTTAACACGTTCCAACGTCTGGGTCGCATCCACGGAAAGCCATAGAGCCCAGGCCTGGGTACGGAGCAGCTCCCCACGTGGCTCCATGGGGTGCCGGTGAGAACGGGGGTACCTGCCACCCCCACTCACTCCTGCCCGCCCCCTGCTGAGTTGCCCCACCCTACCTGCTGGATCTTCGTGGAGCCAGGGCCGTGGGTGCAGGGCAGCCATCTCTCCTGTCTTCTCCCCGTCTTCCCTTCCCGCCACTGCTGCCTTCAGTGTCTTTGGTGTCACTTTCTCCCCATTCCTAGTTGCATAGGTCCTCGTCTCCCTCCACTCCAGGCCCTGGGTTTGTCTTGTCCGCCATCGTCCCGTCCACTGCCGGCCCATGGCTGGCTCCAGTAAGCTGCATGGCGGCTGCCGCTCGCTGGTCCTGACGGCTGCTCGCAGTCCTACCCACTTCTCTTCCGGGCCTCGCCATCCTGCGCCCCCACATCCTTTCTCCCTCCCTGCCCACCTCCTCCCCCCTTTCCTTTTCCTGGGCATCTCCTGTCCTCTTCTGCACGTAGCTGCTCACATCTAATCTCTGGGCTCCAGAGGGTGAGGGGCCCTCCCCGGGGTGCTGAGAGCATGGGAGAGAGGGCGGTGGCGGCTCTGAGTCTGCCGTGCTGTCGGTGCTGGCACTGCCACGCCAGCCCTGACCGCTGGCTGGACGGTGGCTGCCCATCTCTGCAGAGCCATGGAGGCATCAGAGCCGCAGACTTTGCAAACCATCTCTGGGGCTCTTCGGCGCCCAGCCAGGGAACGGCTCGAGGGGACGGACAGACGCCTAGGGGCCGGTCGCCATGGCCCGTGTGCGTTCTGGGTCCGTCCACGTCTTCAGTGATCCAGCTCAGCTCCATGTTTATGACCGTGAAGCACTCACAGGCTGGCAGACGCGGCTCCCTGTCACACCCCGGCAGCCACCTCATTCCCTGGCCCAGGGCCACACACAGCTGCCGTCCCCCCCGCCCCCGCCCCCTGCCTTTCTCTGCTGCCCAGGGAAGCAGCTCTTGAGCCACGGCCTTTCTCATCCACTCCTCTGCCCCTGGTTCCCTGCCCAGGCCGGTAGTGGCTGCCCACCAACTGCCATGGAATCTTCCAGTGAGACATTCCCCCCATCCTTCCCCACAGGGTTCTTCCTTGTGCCCTGGTTCCTCCCACCCCCAGTTCCCTGGGGCTGGGGTCTGTGGAGCCCAGGAAGAAAGAGCAGGGCCCCAGGAAGTGTCTTCCTTTAGGTGGGAAGGCACTGGTGTCTCGTCAGCCTTCGTGGTCACCACCAGGGGGCGCCCAAGGCATTCCCAGAAGCAGCTGCCCTGCGTTTTCAGCCCCGCAGCCAGGGCAGGCTGGCATCGAGATTCAGTTTAACAAGTACCCGCTGTTGACCAGGCCTGTTTGCCACTTCCTCAGGACGGAGAGTGTGTCCGAGCCTCTGCGGAGAGACTCCTCGCACAGCCCCATTGCTGGGGCTGCCGTTTGGCACAGGGGGTTAGACCACTTCTTGGGACACCTGCATCCCATATCTGAGTGCCTGGGGTCAAATCCTGCCTCTGCTTATACCAGCTTCCTACTGATGCACCCTGGGAAGCGGCTGGTGATGGCTGAGGTACTTGGGCCCCTGACACACACCTGGGAGGATCAGATTGAGCGCCTGGCTCGTGACTTTGGTCTGCTCAGCCTCAGATGTTGAGGCATTTGGGGAGTGAACCAGCAGATTCTCTCTGTCTCTTTGCCTTTCAAATACAAATAAAATTTGTGACACCCGCATACTCATATCAAGTATCTGGAGTTGGGTCCTGCCTCTACTTTTTTTTTTTCTTTCTTTTTTTTTTCTTTTTTTTTTTTGACAGACAGAGTGGACAGTGAGAGAGAAAGACAGAGAGAAAAGTCTTCCTTTTCTGTTGGTTCACCCCACAATGGCTGCTGCGGCCGGCGCGCTGCGGCCAGTGCGCTGCAGCCAATGCACTGCGCTGATCTGAAGCCAGGAACCAAGTATTTCTCCTGGTCTCCCATGGGGTGCAGGGCCCAAGCACTTGGGCTATCCTCCACTGCACTCCCAGGCCACAGCAGAGAGCTGGACTGGAAGAGGAACAACTGGGACAGAATCCGGCACCCCAACCGGGACTAGAACCTGGGGTGCCAGTGCCGCAGGTGGAGGATTAGCCTAGTGAGGCACAGCGCCGGCCCTGCCTCTACTTCTGATCCAGCTCCCTGCTAGTGCACCTGGGAGGCAGCAGAGGATGGCTCAAGTGCTTGAATCCCTGTCCCACCCATGTGGGAGACCTGGATGGTTCCAGGCTTCATTCAGCCTGGCCCAGACCTGGCTGTTGCAGGCATTATGGGAGTAAGCCCACAGATGGAAGATATTGTACTCCCACCCCATCTCTCTGTCACTGTGGCTTTCAAATAAGTAAATCTATTAAAAAAAAAAAAAAAAAGGCAACACACAGATCTTCCTGTGCTGGTTCACTTCCCAAAGAGCTGTAACAGCCAGGGCTGGGTCAGTCGGAAGTTGGGAGCCAGGAGCTCCATGCAGCTGGGGGTCCCCCTGCTGGTAGGGGCATCAGCTGGTGCCACCCATGCACATGAGCAGGGAGCTAGATCAGAAGCTGAGCAGCAGGGACTCAGAGTGGTGCTCAGATATGGGATGCTAGTGTCACAAGCCTGGCTTAACCCCCTGTGCCATAATGCCCATCTCCCAAATAAGTTTTTTTTTAAAGATTTATTTATTTGAATAAATTTATTTGAAAGGCAGAGTGACAGGTTGGGGATGGGGAGAGATCTTCCATCTGCCGGTTCAGCCCCCAAATGCCTGCAGAGCTGGGCCAGACTGAAGCCTGAAGCCTGGAACTTCCATCTGGGCCCCCACTGTGGGTGGCAGGGCCCATCAATAAATTTTTTAAAGCCACACCTCAGATGCTGGTGTTGTGATGTAGTGTCCCAGTTGCTCCACTTCCGATCCAGCTCCCTGCTAATGGCCTGGGAAAAGCAGTGGAAGATGGTCCAAGTGTTTTGGCCCCTGCACTCATGTGAGAGACCTGGAAGAAGCTCCCAGCTTCATCTTGGCCCAGCACTGGCTGTTGTGGCCATTCGGGGAGTGAACCAGCGGATGGAAGATCTCTCTCCCGCCTGCCTCCTCTAACTTTGCCTTTCAAACAAATGAACAAGTCTTAAAAAAAAGCCTCAGCCCCATCACTAGCCTCCCAGTGGCTCCCCTGAACCCTACTTGTGGAGGGCATGGGCTCCAGGAGGCCGCGGCTGACGGATGTCAACCCAGGAGCATAACTTCTTTGCCCAGGGAACATGGACCCAGCTGGCAGAGACTCAGGAAGTGGGTGATGATGGTGATAACAATAACAATAATCAAATTAATAACAACATCGGGACCCACAAAACGGCTGTGCCATGCCTCTAATGATCCTCGCATGTGCGGATCTCCTTCCCTTCCAAGGCAGTTCAGAGCCCCTGCCCGGCCTCCTCTGGAGCAGGGACAACTAATGGGGGAGGTTATGGCTGGGGGAAAGGAGGCTCTGAGAAGGCCCTGGCTGGCTGGCTGGGGTCGCACAGTGCCTTAGTGACAGCAGGGTTTGCAGTGTGGCACTGTCTCCTGCCTCTCCTCCCTCTCTCTCTGGGCCCACTGAGGCTCGGCTGCCTGGAGACCCAGGCACACATGCGCACACTTTTTCACTGTCCATTCCAGCTCTGCCTCACCAAAGATCTCAACACCTGAAGCAGCTGGAACTGGGGCAGAGGAGGGATGTCCCCACTGTCACCAAGGAGGGCTTCTCGGAGTCTGGGCTGGGGTCGACGTTCCCAGTTCTGTTGGACGCGCCGTGACTGGCAGGGCCCAGGTCCAGACCACGCCTCTCCAGCCTGGGGAAAGAGAAGCAGGGTCTCTGGAGGACCCCACAGGGTACACACAGCATGACCTTGGTGCAAGAGCACCCGTGCAGCACCCTGTTAACCCGTGCCGTGCCGCCACACTGGAGATGCCCAGGTGACTCCTAGCAGGAGACGCAGCAGCTCTAGGGTGGAGTGGCGTTCCTTGGGCCTGCATAGGAGGGTGCCCGGAGCAGGTGGAGGAGGGGTGAGATGGTGCAGGGCATGGCCCTGAACTTCAGCTTCAGAGTCCCCCCCCCCACCCCAAGCTGCTTCTTTCACAGTCTGAAGGCAGACAGGGGAGGTGGGAAGTTGCTCTCGTTTGCAGCTGGGGGCAGCAGCGGTTCATCCCATCTGAGAACTTCCTGCTCAGGAGGGAGCAGGTGTCTGAAGGGGAGTTGGGGGTGGGTTCCTGGCGCTGAGACCAGCAGTGCAGACCAAGGCGACAGGCCTGGCCTGGAGTCCTCAGTCGCTGGTGCTTCCAGCCTGGCCCACGCCTACCAGCTCCACACCCAGCTCTGGTTTCCATCCGCCCCCTGGCCTCTGACCCCTGCAGCCCGGGCCTGGGCTGGTCCCTCCCCCAGCTCCTGGTTTCACCTCTGAAACTCTGAGGCTCCACATTGCTGAGATTTTACTAGGGCGCCCAGCTGGGTCCCACCTTTGATCTGGCTTCAAAAACTCAAACGCAGGACCAGGAGAGTAATTTTCCCCCGACCTGCTGGGGAGGAAGGCAGGCTGGGGGCAGGTCCTGACCAGCCCGGCCCACTGGGAGCCTGCAGAGGCTGGTGGCAGGAGGCAGGGGCCAATGGGGCAAAGCCATCTGTCCTCTGACTTCCTTTCTCAGCCTTCTAGTGCACAGACCTGTCTTTCCTTCCCAGCCTGCCAACCAGCAGGCCAAGGGACCCCACAGCTACTCCCCAGCCCCTTCTCCCCCATACTGGGCTCTGCCCGTTCAGGTTTTCCATGGGGGCGAGATGAGAGCAGTGCCTGTGCCGCTGCAAAGGCAGGGCCATCCGCTGGCCTGCCCCTGGGAAGAGATGACTGACCACTCCGGGTGGGGCCGGGCAGTGGGCAAGTCCTCTCCCACCTGGCTGAGCACCTGAGACATTACTCAGTTGGCTGTCTCCGTGCCAGCTCTGGGCCTGGGAGGCCGGACTAAGGGGTAGGGAGGGGAAGACAGGGCTGGGGGGGGCCTTCTATGGCGCCTGATCCCCAGTTCTCTCCCATAGAGCTGTGCGCCCCGGCCCAGGATTTCCATCTTCCGGCAGCAGCCCCGCCCCCCTCCAGTTCAAAGGCCCTGGCTCCTCACCTGTTCCAAATGCAGTACCTGGCCCTTTCAAGTGGTTAGCAGTGCATCCCACCCCCACCAGGCTGGGGCTGGGGCTTCTCCATGCAGGCGGCTGGGGGACCAGGGTGATGGGGTTTGGAGTCCAGAGTCTGGAGGAGGCAAAACCACAGTCTTCAGCCAGCTGGGCCGCCCCCCTCCCACGCCCTCCCCGAGGACACAGGGCTGTGGCCTGCTGCCCTCGAGGCCATCTTTCCAGGAGGCGGGGAAGGAGCCAGGGGCCAGAGGAAACCCAGAGGCCTGAGTTTGGGCGGGTAACAGCTGCGGGGCAGGGGGCCGGCAACTTCCAAACATGCCAAAATGAGAGGCAGCCACCACGTCCATATCTCCCCTCTCCACGTACACGCACGGAAGATAATTCCCTAAAGCTTAGGGCTCCTCCAGCATTGGCCCCACAGCCCGGCCCCACAGGCCACTGGGCTCGCCCTTTCCTTGGCGGAGAAATGGGAGCACGGAAACTCGCGTCCGCTCTGAGCCTGGAAGGTGCCGCCTGGCTCCCCTGCCACCTTGCCCGTGGGTACCTGTGCTTGACCTGGGGGCACAGAGGAGAATTCGGGGAGGGGGAGGAAGTGGGGAGCCACCCAGTCTCCCGCTGCTGGGGTGGGGTCCCGCCACGATAACTATCTTTCTGGCAGCTCCAGCCCGTTCCATTGGTGAGTAATTTTTTTTTTTTCCTAGAGGAGAAAGGCGAAGGCCTTGGCGGGGAGTTATTCTGGTTGGGAGCGTCCTGGCAACTTCAGGCCT